TTCTAGATGTTGCAGCACCGCAACAGAAAACAGCCGCTGCACACCGAACACGTCAGGAGGTAACAACTGGCATCATCTACATTCTCTTTGCAAAATACGGTTAATTAAATCTGTGATAATCTGTCATGGTACAGATGTACAAGCAGGTATATTTTGGCTAACGTCACATGTACTGACTAACCATAGTGGCTACATGTCAGGGTAATATTAAACAGTAAGTTGTGTGATAAAAACAACACTAAGTGTCAAATAAAGATAAAAGCACAGCAACAGATTAAGAACATGAGCTGAAACATTTATTTGTTGATATGCTTCTATCTTCACTTAAATGAAATACTTGTGAATATTCAAAAGTATTAGCAGGATTTTTTTTGCTGCTCTTTATGACTTTGAAACCTGTCATTCGCCTTTATTTATTAATGCTGTTGTATTTGTTTATAGCTAAGCAGTCAGGATTAAATAATTTATAGCYTAAAATGAGAACTATGAACACTATGTCAACATAATACAGCCTTAATAAAAATATGAATTTAGTTTTACTATTAACAATAAAAACTGAACTCTACAAAACTCTATGTGCAACAGCTCACTTTTACCCAGTTTCTAACATAAAAGATCACATTCASTTTTCCATAAACATGAATGTACAGCATTTAGTTGTTTCAGTGATGGTTAAAGAGATTCTATGACAGAGAGGTTTTAATTAATGCCTCCTCAAACCTCACACACAGAAATACGAGCAAGTGGAGCTTAAAATGAATCAAACAACTGATTCAGTGAGTTTACTTTGACTGCAGCACAGTCATCAGTAAGTGTGGATTACCTCATCACAATATGAAATTATATTCATCAACCAATCAAGTAATCAGGTATTAAAAGTGTCAGGTTCTGCAATATTTATTTCATGACTAATACAAGTATTTGTCATAATGATTAGTAAAATAATAGTTATCTGCAGCTGAACACACAGTATGTTGTCTAAAACATCATAATGACAGAACTGTAACCGTCCAAACTGTTTCTGATGAGACTTGGACTTAAACGAGCTCCAGCTCTGTCGTTTGAACTCTGTGAAAATAACCTGCTGGTGGGCTCCAGCTGATACTCACTGTCCCAGCAGGTCTTTGAAGCGAGCGTCCAGTTCTATGTGGTACTTGTGCAGATAGTTGAACAGCTCGTCTGTGCCGAGGACCTTTGCAATGCGGACCAGCTGAAGAACACAAGACACCTGAAGTTACAACAGCACTGGCTCACGTGTAAATAAGTCTTAAATCAGCACTTCTTACTATTTATTTTCTTCCCAAACAGCCAGGCTTGGCTGTAAACTGTAAAGGGCACTCTGACTATTTGTAACATTAAACATTATTTGATAAACATTTACTTCAACTGTAAAACAAAAACTGTAAAAATACTGTAGGCTGTTTAGTTTTTATACATTTTTTTTAATGTATTGTCACATGAACAGGGCCATTTTATTAACCCTGCAAAACATACTGGGTAAATGATGACATTAACTAGTTGTTCCTCTGTGAGACTAAGAGCTATAACCACCCTGAACGTTAATCTCTGACAATTTCTGACGATCAGCCCTTTTAAATAAAACTAATATATATAAACACATACACACCCATATAACTAAAAAAATGTGGCGTTATTTCATATATAGCTAACGCTATATCATCATATACTGTATACTGTATATATATTAGCTTGAGCGCTAACGCAAAAGCTCAACAACTAAAGCTAAGATGAGCCTTTAAAGAGTTCTTGATCAACACTTCTTTATACTTTCTGGAGGTTTTTCAAAGTTTTTCTTTGGATTTTGTCTGCTCTTTCACTCAGTTTCAGTACAGTAACAATAGTAATAATAACAAAAATTTATATAGTACTTTTCAAAACAGTTACAAAGTGCTTTACATGAAATAATAAAATGAAAACACAAAATACAAAGGCCATATAAAAATATTAAAGGCGCAAAAGTCAACAATTAAAAGCCAACCTCTAACAGATTAGTGACCATTTCTGTCTCTTCAGCCAGTTAACTCTGATCTATGAAACATTTAGGATTAAAAAAATCCCATAAACAACAAAGACACGCCTGTGTTGTGCTGACATACAACACACAAATATTAAAATAGGATCTTGAAGCTCTCAGCTACCAACAGTCAGTCAGAACGACAATTTGTTTCATTTCTTTAAGTCGTGTGTTTATCTACAGCTGAGTCTTTCAGGCCTGACATTTCTTGTCTTGTTCTCCACACGTACTAGTGTTTGCAAAGCACACACACTTCAAAATGTGCTGTCATAATCAAGCACAAGAAACAGACTAAGAATCATTGTGAAAAATCACAAGTTTTAGAACGACCACAGAAACAATCTTGTGTTTTTTTAAAGGCACAGTGTGTAGGATTTTGTCAATTCTTTTAGCCGAAATTGGGATAATTACTGATGACAATAATAATAAAACATGTCTAATGATTGCAGACAAAGACCTTGTTTTATTATTTTTACCTTATAAAAAGCTGTTTATATCWCCATGGTCGCGGGTCGCCACTACAGGCAGCCGCCATCTTGTCTACGAAGGCTCATGAAGGACAAACTGCGGTGGCGGCGTCAAAAACGGTTTTAGTTGTA